CACCAACTTCAAACTGAAACACTAATTAGAGACAATATGCAACCAAGACAGAAAAATTAGAGAAATGTACTTGACAAACATTCTAATTAAAGGTTAGTATATTTCTGATAAAGTTGGAAAGAACAAATCTTCTCAAATTGTCTAAACAACATTTAAATAATCTTTCTTTCCAACTATAGTGGTTTCTCCATCTGGAAAGGCTTTTGCTTCCATTGTTCCTCAGTGATCACAATGAAATAGTGAAAAAGACACTAAGCTCAAAATAGCAAATAAAGCAACAAACCCTTGCCATTGCAAAATAAATACCAGTAAGCATCAAACTGTTCGTCTTTCCAACACTCTTCTTTCACAATACAAGCAAAAATATTATAAAATTCAATAACATTACCCTACAGTAAACCACTGCTTACAGGCAGTCCTCATTCTACAACTTTTCACTCAGTGACCATTTGAGTTATCTTAATTGCTGCATGAATGGTGGTTACAACCAATCCTTTGCGTTCCGGCCATCCCAGCACCTCCACGATCATATGATCACAATCTGGGTGCTTGGCAATTGGCTTGGAATTACAGCTAGTTGTAATACCCCATGATCATATAATTATCATTTGTGACCTTCCCTGCTGGCTTCCCCAGAAAGTTAATGGGGAAGCTGGTAGGAAAATTTGCAAGTCTTGGAGTAAGTGTCTCCCATTCATGACCTCTCCTCCAGTCCAGTGGTGGGTTCCGGCTCCTGTCGCAACTGGTGCGCTGCACATGGGGCCAGGCATCCTCATCGGGCACACATGGTGCGCATGCATGCACAAGCCACCACCCTGAGACACCCAGCTGCTTGGCGGAGGTTGCGGAGATGCCGTACGCTGTGTGCGCATGCGCAATTGGCCCAGTTGCTTCAAAAACAGGGAACGTGGGTGGGCAGGTGGGCCAAACAAGTCATCGTACCAGTACAGTAGCTGCTGCTTCTGGCTACTACCAGTACGGCCGTACCGGGCTGTACCTCCCGGAACACACCATCATGCCAGTCCCTCTGAGCTTGTACCACATCAGCCACTTACATATCTTACAACTTCCTGCCACGATTCCCATTGACTTTGATTGTGGAAAGCCGGAAGGAAATTGCCTTGCCTAATCACCATAGAATTCAGTTTACAAAGGGAATTGGAACTCCAGGGATTGCCCTTACAACCTCATTGCATAACAACAAAAATTTCAGTCCAAATTGTTTTCATAAATTGAGAACTACCTGTACTATTCCAATCAACTATGAACTTCTAATTAATAGAAACAGAACTGTTAGAACAACCCCTTCACTAGCAAAGTAAGAAAGAAGGAAGTTAATCACAGGTTGTATTCAGCAGGTTCTGATCAGTTCTGGTCCGTAGCAGAAATTTTGAGCAGTTTGGAGAACTAGTAAATACCACCTCTGATTGGTCCCGGCCCCCATCTATTCTCTGCCTCCCGAGTCCCAGCTGATCGGGAGGGATTGGAGATTTTACAGTATTCTTCCCCTGCCACACCCACCAATCCACACCCACTAAGCCGTGCCACGCCTACCAAGCCACACCCATAGAACCAGTAGGGGGGAAAAATGAATCCCACCACTGAAGTTAATGAACACAAGCATCGTCACCGCACATTCTTACAACACGCCATTCAGAATATTTAATTGAGGGGAGGGGGCTCCAAGTAAAAGCAAACTTGAAAAAGAGTTTTGATAATAAGAATTATTGTGAACAGAGGTCTATCAACTTAACTGCACATTTATATGTCTCAACTTAATGCAACAAGGTGTTTAGGACATGTTTCTAAAGTCATGGTAACTCCCTTCCAAAGTTATTGGCAGAACAGAAACTATCTACTGTCTAGTGTTTCAATAAATATGAGAGAGAACACATGTTTCACATAAAAATCCATGTGGACTGAAACAGAGCTATCTAGCCATTACTTTTTTCTACTACCAAGATTTAAAAATTAACTAAAAATATTTTTTTAACAGATTTCTATCATAAATATATATTTAGAAGAGGAAATCTACCTTGAATAAAGTATTTTCTTAATGGTTGGGTGTTTTTTTGCACTAGATTTGAAGGAGCAAACTAAAATACAGTAACGCATTTTTTTAGCATTACAAAATCATTTTTAACCCCACTGGAATCATAAACACATTCCCCTCTCCTCCCATCTTTTTTATTCCACGTACCTGCAGTCTGGTATTCATTTCCAAAAAATAGAAATTTTTTTTTGAATCCACAAGGAATTCCACTGTTCCCGCTGATGAGTATTTTACAGCTCTGGCAAGAGCTACAGCCTGTTCTCCCATAGCTTTACGAGTTCCAGGATCCAAGAAGGTGCTATGTATTTTTAAAAGGGGGGGGGGGAGGTTAAAAGGAATTCTGTAAAAATACATTTGACTATTTTATGCCTTTTAGAAACTGAAATATAGAAGAAAAAGGTAAAATAATAATTATGCTGCTTAACATACATTCACAGTTCTATAGACCAGGGGTTCTCAACTCCCAGGCTACAGCCTGTTTGGAACTGGGCTGTGCATGCACGAAGCTCTCCTCAGGTGAGCTGTGGCTGTCTTGTGCTTGTGCATAAAGCTCCATTTGCACGAAGGGAGGCACATGCACCAGCCGCTCACACAAATGGAGCTGCACATGTCTTCACATCCCTGCCTGCCACTCACAGGGAACTATCCCCTCTCCCTTCCCTCCACCAGGCCGCCAAGTCAGAAAGGTTGGGGACCACTGCTATAGACTATTTGCTGACTACACAGTATACATTCCCCCAAGGGACAGAAGGAACTTTCTTCACATACACAACAGCAGATACCCCCACCCATTTTTTTTTCTTTTTACAGAAAGAAAGGAGGTTTACTCATTTTAAAAACTACAGGCAGAATTCTGGGAGAGGCTGGAAATGAGGCCAAGAAAATCATCAGATTAGTTATAGAATTGTTTCCAGCAGCCTCTGATTAAAATTCGATGTTTCCAAAGTGAACAAGTCCAAGAAAATTGAAGCAAAGAAACAAATGGTTGAAATAAAGAACTGAATCCTATATTCACATACCTGTATGCTAAACAATCAAAATGTGGCTTTATTTGAAATTATTTCAACTCTTGTCTTTTGATCTTTTAATTGCTAGAAAGGCTGCACGCTGCGTACAAGTTATGCCTGTTACGTGCCAGGCTTAGTAATAGGATTGGTTATACTTAAATAATGTTTTAGTCCTTTAAAATGCAAACACTATAGTTGTCAGGCCTGCAGCGGTTCCTTTAAGAATCTTACAATAGTATTATTGCACCAGATAGACAAATCAACGAAACTTTCTTTCACTACTTTTACTAAATCACTACAATAAATTTAGAAGAAAATATGAGGCACAACTATGATTTACATTCTAAGAATTTTAAAAATGATGTTAGTGAATTTAAAAACAGTACTATGTTTATGACTTAGTAAATAAAAGTATGCAATAAGTTCGATTTGCAATATTTTATGTAGACATTTACAGTCTACTTGCTTTTTGTACTTACAAATGAGTAATGCATTATAGAATGTTTCAGAGAAAAATCTGAAATGAAATCCCAAAGCTTCAAACTGAATTGCCATTTCAACTTTAGCCTACAACACGGTATTTGACATCCAGTGACAGTAACAGCTTGCATTTTAAATTATTGTCTCAACTTTACTCCAAAACTGAAAGTTTTAATTTTCTATTTTTCTTACTTTGATTCATCTGTTTACACAGCATGGTTCCTCCAGGTTCCACCCTGAGCACAGCTGTTCCTCTGCCTTAGAGCACAGTTGTGAAGCCCTCTTGGGATTCACTCTCAAGACTGCTCCCCAGCCTGCAAGTCTCCTCACTACAGGACACTAAATATATCATCTTCCAGAGGCCAAAGGCATATCAACTCAGAAAAATATATACCCTGGCAATGTCTTTTCATTGTATTCTGATAGTACTTCAAAACACTCAAAGTTTTTATCTACCTTTACAAACGTTCACATTTTTCTACAAAACAATGTGTAAGACACATGAAGCAGATCAGATGTGCAGGGTTTTTTTTCATTTAAAAAGTGTAATCTCATAATCGTAGCTATTCTCATTTACCCCTATTCAATGCAAGGACCAACAAGTATATTACTGTGTTTCTTATATTAGCGTGGTAAATCAAAGAAAAATAATTATCTGAACAGCAAGAGAATCAAAGAATAAACTGCAACAGAAGGTATTTCCTGTGTTCAAAATGGTTTTAAAATCTGTGTTTATTAAGTTTCTATAAAGGAGCCAGGCAACATACAGGAATAAAGATAAATAAAGTCAGTGTGCCTGCTCATCAACTAAGAAAATAAAATACACTAGGGAAGGAAGGAAAAACAAAGAAGGGACATAACAGTTGGATAAATAAAAGGAGTATTATTTCAAAAGGATCTGCAACATTCACAGCACTCTTGTTTTCCTAAAACATCACTGTTGCATATTCAACTTTTACCTCAAAGAAATAGAACAAATCATATCATATCTTGGTGCAGCGGTCCCCAACCTTTATGCCTTGGCAGCCCAACGGGGGAAGAGAGAAACCAGCCCACTACTGCCACAAGCTGTGCACGGGCATGCACTGCCCAGCCACTCACGTGGTCCAGTTTCAAATGGACCATGGACCAGTAGTGGGCTGCAGCCCGGGGGTGGGGACCCGTCTTAGTGAACACAGAGTTTAATGTGAGTGTAATAAACACACAGAGAATGGATTTATGACAAATTTACCTCCTTCTTCATTAGTATGTAACGCCTACATCCAAAGAAACTTTTATGAGCATACACACAAGGGCAATTCTATCATGCATCAGCAGTTCTCTGAATCATGACTTCTTTCCATTTCTGAAAGAAATCCGTTTGGAAGGAAGCAGTCTATAGCTGAGTGGAAGCAAACATGATGGTCTGGACCGAAAGAGAATATAGTGTATGAACTATGAAATGTATGTAAAAACCAGGAATTTCTTTGACTATTCAGTTCATTACCGTGCCAGATTGCAAATCAATGGGGAGATTTAATAAGGCACTAAGGTTTTATTCCTCTCAGCAGTGAAGCCTTTAAGAAACACAGCTAATATATAACACTATGGAAAAATCATGTAAGGTTGTATTATATTTTTGGAAATTTATCTGCTACTATTTATTGTTAAAAGTACTCTAGCATTTGAAGAGCTAAAATATAATATTTTTATTTTCAGGGAATCAGAAACAATAAAGAAATCTCTCTCTCATCAAAAGATTTTCAGGCAATAAAGCGTTATCACTAAATAATATTGCAACCATTAAAATATAGTAGTTTACTCTTCTTTTAAAAAAATTCAAGCTCATGAAAGGACTTCAGTTTAGCAACTAGTTCATTGATCCTTAGTTTTTATTAACATTAAGTTATATAATTCTGTTTTAGCGTTTTATTAAATTTTCTTTATGCTCATTGAAGAGTACATTGCACTCACCTTGGTGCCTCTTCAATAACTTTCTGGTTTCTTCTCTGAATTGAACATTCCCTTTCATTCAGCCATAATGCATTGTCATGTTTGTCAGCCAATACCTAATAAGAACTCAGGGTTAATTATTTAAAAAAATTACATTCATTCTCTACTTCAAGTAATTACTAGTTTCAGTGAAAATATTTCATCAATGTACTATGGAGCATCTATTTGAATTAATAATCTATCTGTTCATGTTCTATGCAGATAAGGAAAAGAATAAATATTAGACTTCTATTCGGTTTAGGTTTTTTCTCCGTGAAAGGAATACTGTAAAAAGTAGGAAATATGCTAGAAGAAGGTTGAGTTGTTCAACCCCAGAAAAAGTCTGAATAGGCGCCAGCCTCTTGCTGAGTCAGATTCACTGTGGTAGATCACTAGGCTTGGCCATCCAGAGAAGAGTGGGGAATAAATGACCGATGAACACTACAGCATCATGATGAAATATGTGGCTCTTTTGTACATGTGTGATGATATCACACACACACGGTTTTTTTACCATCCTGACTGATGAAAAGCCTGAAGAGTTTGAAATCTTTCAGACTATTTTGGGGCCCTTATTACACTTCACTACTCACAAGACCTACTGACCACGTGACGGCCTTATAAAGACACTGACACTGACATCCCTTAAATTCCACTGAAGAGGTTACCTAGCCTGGTAAAGAAACATTTGTAAAAAAAAAAAAAAAACCCACAAGCTCAGAGAATGAAACTCTATCCTCAACTTACAACACTGATTTAAAAGGGATTGTTCTATTATGGATTACTTATCTTTTTCCTGCAACCGGCCCTTTGGAACGATCTCCCCGCGGAGATCCGGACCCTCACCTCCCTTCAGGCTTTCCGTAAAGCCGTTAAAACCTGGCTGTTCCGGCAGGCCTGGGGTTGATGAGTTCCCTTCCCCGCTCAAATTGTGTGACTGTTGATTGTTTTTAAATTTTCTCTGTATCCTGTTTTTGCCTTGTCTGTATTACCCCCCTCCCCTGGGTTTGTTAGCCGCCCTGAGTCCCTCCGGGAATAGGGCGGCATATAAATGAAATAAACCTATAAACCTATAACCAAAATGGTTGGCTATCCTTTTCTTGTGATATTGGTGAAAAACTGATAATCAAGGCAACCTCCACCAAAAGAAAAAGCTTTTAAAATTTGTATTTGAAAAGTAGTTTACACACTACAGAAGCAGCTCCTATTAAGGAAAACATTGATCTAAATCTTTTTAGGCATGCAGACTCTTTCATTTCTAGGTAGTTTTAGGTAGTTTGTAACATTACAACATTAGGACAAAAAGGAATAATAATGGGACTATTTTGCCAGAATAAATGATGTTAAACTGGTTTTTTTTAATCTCAATGTTCTTTAATACAAAGTGTTAGATTAAGTTACCGAGTGGCTTTCGCTTCAGCATCTTTTACATACAATATTCACAGGTTAAAGTTCATCTATCTTTAGCATGAAAAATCATTCTTACTAATTTAATAACAAAGGACAATACAATGGGGGAGGTAATAACTCAGCAAAACCTATATAACAATTCCACACTGAAAGTCGAAAGAGAAGAACACAAACCTGAATTTCTATGTGGCGAGGATTATCAATAAATTTTTCTATTAATAACCGATCATCACCAAAACTTGAAGCAGCTTCTTGAGATGAAAACCTGAAACCTTCCCTTTATAATAAAGGAAAGAAATCCATTTAGAAATATGGACAATATATTATTTCTGCTTAATAAAAGACTAAGAATCCCTGCATGTAGAAATAGCTTTGGCTTAAAAGGCCTCAACTGCTGAAAGTACAATAATGGGTACATTTTCATTTTATAAGCATAAATGCCATGATTCATAAGTATTACAAAAGGAAGCCAGTTATAGCATGTTAAATCTTAAAAAACACTGCAGGTGGTACCACCTACTCATCCTTGACTGATTCTGAAAGAAACTAGGCAGTGGTGGCCCTGTCAGTACCTGAACAAGAAATTGCAAGGAAAATTGACAGGCTAAACTAAGAAGTCAAAAACATTCTGAAAAAGGCAACAGCAAATCACTTTACCAATAATGTTCAGGTGAAATTATAATGAAGTCATCTGCAGAATGGGAGCATTAAAACCAATAAGATGGCAGACAGATTGTTACGCTAGAAGCCCCATCACTTTTGCGTGTGTGTTGCTGTCATACACATATTCAAAGGGTATAGTTTTTGCATTGCAACTCTGCATCTTGCCAATCTTCTACAGACATCATCGTTAATTCAATATATACTGTAAATGTCACATTGGAATACTCAAAACTGCAGACCTACATTTGCACAATAAAGGAGTATTATCCTCTTATCGCCCAGGAGTTTATATATTTGTGGTGTTTTTTAATGCTATTTATTTTCTAAGGTAGATTTTTACATTTTTATGTGTCATTTTTACATTTGGGGTTTTTACCCATTTATTGTGTGCCACCCAGAGTCACTTTTGGTGCGATGGGCAGCTATATAATCTGATTAATAAAATCAATAAATAATAGCAATAATTTCTTAAATTTCTCACAACAATGAAAGAAAATATATATATATATATATATATATATATATACATATACATATACATATACATATACATATACATACATACATACATACATACATACA